GCATGGAGGGAGGGGGCTGGCTGCACGGGCAGCTGGGTATGGAGGAAAGGGGCTGGGTGCCCGGGCACCTGGGCATGGAGGGAGGGGGCTGGCTGGCCGAGCACCTGGGCATGGCGGGGCCGTCATGGGAACGGCTGTGGCGCAGGCGCTGCCCCCTTGGGGAAAGCTCGCTGAATGTGCTCTTGTTCAAGACTACCGACTTCTCCATGCTAGTTTCCTGACCCACAGACCCAAATTCCTGTCCCAAAGGAAAATAGCACAATCTGATACTTAAAGGTGGATAATAAAGACCAGAGACTGTACACTTGTTTCTTAAAAAGATCAGATTGCCTGTAGCTTTCAGTAACCTCTAGGATGCCTGTTAAATAAGACATTAGTGTTCGGTCTCCCTGCTGTGCATTTTTTGACAGCCTGCTGTTTACAAGCATTCCGTCAGAGAGCTGATGAGCCAGGATCCACCCAATTTCATTGAACTTCCACTTGAGTGACTAGAAGAAAGTATTTGTTCATTTATTCAGCAAACTTACTGAGAACAAGCTGAGTGCATTGTACTAAGTACAGTGAACAAATATAGGCAATGATTATAAATCTTATATTCTGTTGGAGGGCAATGGGACCAAAAATAATATAGGCTCTGTGAAAGGATGTTAAGTGCTTTAGGAATAAATGAAGCATAGCGGGCATTGAAGGAGGATGTGTGAGAAAGTCTCGATGAGAAACTGACATGTTGGTGAAGATCTGGAGAAAACAAAGCAGCCGATTGTGAGGACAGCAGGATGCCAGCATCCCAGGCAAAGAGAACCACAGGCTGTACAACCTCTTGTTGGCCAGGAAGACTCAAATAGGCTCACCAGGTTTGTTGCTCCAGGCTGGCAGAGGGGGGTCCCTTTTGGAGTCTCCCTGATTTTTGTGCTGTGACTCCCTCCTTTTCAGGAGTCAAGACTAATAGGACACAGGGAAGGCTGGGGAGGTCAGTCCTTTCCATAGAGGAGTGCATCTAAGGTGGTACCGCTGGAGACTGCACATATTTTGTGCCTGATTAGGGCCATGGTCTTTCTGATCACTTGCTATATTCTCTGAGAGCTGGACAGTGCATAAGGATGAAAGAAGAAGAATTCATGCCTTTGAGCTGTGGTGCTGGAGAAGAGTGCTGAGTATCTCATGGATTTCCCAAAGAACAGATATGTCTTGAAGACGGTGCAGCCAGAGAGCTCCTTGGAAGCAAAGATGATAAAACTTTGTCTCACATACTTTGGGCATGTTGCTAGGAGAGACTGTTCCTTGGAGAGAGACCTCATGCTTGGAAAAGGTCGAGGGGCATCAGCAAAAAAGAACAAGACCCTCAACCAAATGGATTTGATGCAGTGACTGTAACATTGTTTTTGAGTATGACAGAGATTGTAAGGATGGCACAGGATAGGACTGGGTTCAGATTTGTTGTTCATGGAACACTGTAGGTTGTATTCAAACTACAACAGTAATGGCTGCATCAGTTTACTGGGGGGATGTCAAGGGGCTGAAATGATCATGGTTTCTAATTGGTTCTCCCTGGTTGAGTTTTAGCTCAGAAATGAAACTGGAATGAACCCAAAGTTGTAAAACGAAGGTGTACTGGAAAAGATAATTACAAGTCAGTGCTCTGCTAGAAGTGTCAGTCTTCCTCCTAGGAAACTAGGGTAACTTGCCTCACTTAGGAACCAAATCTCTTGATGAGCAGAGTCAGAAATAGTGATTCTGTGCTCAAAGATGGAAGCTTACCGTATCACTGAGTGTGTGTCACTCCCCACAGTTCTGGCCATCATCAGGCTTCCACACCAGGCCCCGGAAAGGCTTATTTCATCTCTTCCATCACAACTTCTTCTCAGTCACCTGCTGTGCATCAGAGAGCTGGACAATGAATAAGGATGGCAAGAATTGATGTCTTTGAGCTGTAGTGTTGGACAAGAATGCTGAACAGATATGTCGTGGAAAAAGTGCAGGCAGCGTGCTCCTCTGAGGCGAGGATGACAAAGCTTTGTCTACTACATGTAGCTAGGCGAGGCTATTTCTTGGAAAGGGGCATCATGCTTGGAAAGATGGAGGGGTCAGCAAAGGAGAGAAAGACCCCCAATGAGATGGATTGACATGGTGACTGCAGCAGTGGGTTCAGGTGTGTCAGAGATGAGGATGGCACAGGAGAGGGCAGGATTGAGGTCAGTTGTTCATAGGGTCGCTCTGAGCTCAACTCGATGGCACCTAACAACAATAATCAGGACTTCCTTCTGTCATTTTTCTTGCCCTCTCACCCTTTCAGTACACCCCTGTTTTACAATTACAGGTTTGTTCTTGCTTTATTGCATTGGCTCTGAGTGGACAGAAAGAACCAGTTTAAAATGTTGGCAAATCGTAATTCCTCTGTGTGCATTATGTTTGTTGTTGTTATGTGCCTTTTCTTTGCCTGCCACTCATAGTGACCCTTTGTACAACAGCTCTGAACCCTGCTTTATCTTGAGTCAATGTCATTGACTCTAACACACCTACCCCCATTACCCCAAGCCATGCAGTTTAATTTTGATGCCCTGGACTACGTAGGCATCACCCAGCAGGAAATGTATCTGACATTGTGCGTTTGCCTTACAGGATGATGCAAAGCAAGCCAGCAATGACATTCCTATAGGTAAGTAATTCTCTTTTATTAAAAATTGGTCATTGCAGGGAGCTCTGGTGGCCTAGTGGCAAGAAGCTGCACTGCAATCCCAGAGGTGTGGAGTTCAAATCCACCAGATGCTCTGTTGGAGAAGGAGGGACATTCTCCTCCTGTACCAGTCAGATCCGATTTGATGGTACATGCACGCGTGCACACACACACAGACACACACACACACAGGAAAAAAATTGGCCATTGCTCCCAACCCCAGCATGCACCGTGAAAGTAAAGCACTTGCCTCTGGGTGTGCAAAGGCGGAGTCCTCACAGCTTTGTTTAGACTCGCAGAAGAAGGCTGGGGCAGCCCCGCCATGGAGAACAGTGGGGAGCAGAGCTCTCCGGGTCCTCTTGTCGTGTGGTAATCTCTGCAATAGAGCAACTAATCATTATTTGAGAGACTAAATTCCAGTATATGTGTAAGCTGTTGGTGATAATATATAATAGCGTGCCGTCAAGTCGGAGCCTACTCATAGCTGACCCTCCAGCGGGTTTTTCGAGGCTGTACAACTGCACAGGAAGAGGTTGCCCGTCTTTCCCCCCAGAGCAACCCCGTGCCTTTTGGTCAGCAGCACAGCTCTTCACCCGCCAGGCCACCAGAGCTCCCTGTATGGGATGTAGATACCTGAAAGCGTATATAAAAAATAAAATGGGTGTAACAGTGCATGAATGTAAATCCAAAATCTCTGTAAATGTTTATTAAAATTAATAAAATTTTAAAAAATCAATGAAGTGGGAGGCTGGAGAACAAGCACGGAAGGTTCTCCACAGACTCTCAAGCTTTGGCATTCTATACCTGTCCCATCAGGTGTAATCAGGCAAAGCCTGACAGATTTGGTCACTACAGAAACAGTGGGCCCTTTTAGATGCAGCCAGTTCATTGCACAGACAGTGACGGAAAGAGTGGGCAAAGGTGCAGCTCCCCGTGGCCCTTGCTCAGGGTGACAGGGAAGCAGGCCAGCTGACCACGGCCCAGGTGACAGGACCCATTGTGCTGAGGACCCCTCGCCACGCTGCAGCTCAGCAGTGTCGTTGTGTGCAGCTGCCGGGGCTGCGCGCAGGAGCCCTCCTGTTTGTCAGGATGTGGGACAAGGAGAAGTTACGGCAGTTCCTGAGGCCACAGCGAGGCAGGTGGGAACGGCAGCTCTTCACAGACCTGCCTGCGCTCGTGTTCCAGGCAGGTGTATATGAAGACCCAAGCTCAGCAAGTTCAAGCCTTGCCCGCAGCCTGTGTGGATACAGGTGTGGTTGGGAGGGTGCCCTGCTGAGCCATCTCCCCCGGTACTCTGTGCTTCAGCAGTCCCAGGGTGGGCCACCGCTCGTCACCGAGGCCTGCTGCCTGTCCCCATAACACCGCAGTTCTTTGCCATGCAAACCTCTGGTGTCTGATGTCTCCCACTGTGTTTCTTCTGTCGTGGAAGAGTTGCAGGCAGGATGCTGCTTCAGGTAGAGGACCTTGCCTACACTGGGCATGTTGCTCACGGCCAGGCTGTAGAGGAAGACCGCTTGGTCAGGGAGCGCATCAGTGAAAAGACCTCAGGACTGTGAACAAGGTGGATGGACACAGGGACCGCAGCAGTGCACTTAAGGACAGCAGACAGCATGAGCACGGGCCGTGCTTCCTTCTGTGGTGCGCAGGGACACCCTGAGTCAGAGCTCGGTCAATGACACCTCACAACAACAATGTCCCTTCCTCACTTCCTTCCCAACACTACAAGACTACGCCCCATAAACTATAAAACTGGCAGAAGATAACAACCCAAAAAAAGCCTGGGGGAGCTTCGAGTCCTGTGAGGTTGAACGGAGGAAAGCTCCTGACCGGAAGCGGTCTGTCCATTATGGCAGACATAACGCTGCTTTGTCCTAGTGTAATTAGTACTAGCACTCCCATTTACTGTCAGGAGAATCCTGGAGCTCCACTTCTAGTTGACTGTGAACCGCACGGATTTCCTCAGAAGCGCTGTGAGAAATTAAGAAACAGTGCTTCTTGAAGCCGTCGTTAAGGAGGTCTATGACACTGCATACAGAAGGAGTGCTGTTCTACAAAACACAAGTCTCTTACTGCCACCCAAGCAGATACATGCACATCCATGTTTACTGCGACTTTGTTCACAATAGCAAAGAGCTGGAAACAACCTAAGTGCCCATCAACAAATGAATGGATAGAGAAGCTCTGGTACATTCACACAATGGAACACTATGCTGCTTTGAAAAACAACTCATGAAATATTAAAAATGGGTGACCCTGAAGGACATTATGTTGAGTGAAATATCTCATCACAAAAGGACAAATACTGCATAGTGCCACCGTTGTAAAACAGGACTGGTATAGGGGCTGGGGGGAGACTGAGAAAGAGGGAATAAATTATGTATACTCCATTGAAACAGGAGAGAACTGTTTAAAAGGCATATGTGATTGGGTATTATTGTCATGACAGGAGTCCAGAACAAAGGCCGCTCAGTGGAGTGAACTTGGAGGGATTGTGTAACAATGAAAGAATTTTTCTTTTACTTTTCAAAGAGAAGAACGAACTGGAGGGGAGGGGTGGGCAGGAAGAAAAGTGCAACAATGAATGAATGGAAATCTAAAAAATATCTGTAAATTTTCATTAAAATTAATAATAATAATAAATTTTAAAACAACAACAAAAAAAATAAGCCTTTTGTGAGAGGACACCCAGAACCTGTGAAAATGTCTTGGCTCTGCACCAGTGATTACTACAGTGGCCATAGATTTCATAGAAATATCCAGGGTTTCATGGTTCAAGTAGGAGATCCAGCAGGTAGTGGAAGAGGAGGCAGTAGTATCTGGGGAGAGCAATTTGAAGATGAATGCAGTGACGATCTTAAAGAGGCTCGCAGAGTCCAGTGTCTGTTGATGAGATGACGAGGGTCTTGGTTTTGTTGTCTTCCTGATCATTTCATGCCAGCTCACTATTCCTTAACAGAAATCATGGTGTTAGAGGTGGTGTGTCTGTGGCTGACAATGGTCCAAATACCAGCGGATCCCAGGTCTTCATCACGCCTGGCAAGCAGTCACATTGGAATGTGAAATCCACTGCATTTGGGAAGTTGATAGATGGTCTCGGGACCCCAGATGAATTGGAGAAGTTACAGATAACGGAGAAGACATGTCAACCTCTTAATGATGTACACGTTAAGGACCTGCCAGTCCACTTGCTTGGTAACTGTAACAGACCTGGGTCATAACTGGGCTAGCCTTTTACAGGACACACCTTGTAGGGTTTGTTAGTGTTGTTGTTCGGTGCCGTCAAGTCGAGTGTGACTCATAGTGACCCTGTGAACAGAAGATCTGAACCCTGTTCTGTCCTGTGCCGTCCTCACACTTCCTAACACACAAGAACCCGTTGGCACAGTCATGTTGTCAGTCCCCCTGGTTTACCCAGGTCAGTGTAGAGACTAAGGTGCGCCTAATCCAGGCCGTGGTTTTTGCAATTACTTGCTCTGCATCAGAGAGCTGGACAGTGACCAAGGATGACAGAAGAGGAATTGATGCCTTTGAGCTGCGGTACCGGAGAAGAGCCTTGAACTTAGTACCTCATTGCTGTTGAGGCAGAACCAGCATCTAGCTGAGACTGCACTGCGGTTCTGAGGTGTGAATCTCATGGGAGGAGCTGCTGGTGCATCAGACTGCAGAGGGGCCCAGCCTTCCGGTTAGGGCAGCTCCCGGTGGACATGCGCCCCAACTCCTGGGGTGTTTGCAGGGACAGCGATACTGAAAGGAAGTGATGACAGTTTATACATTTTGTCACGGATAATCCTAGTTTTATGTTTTTCCGTTTCACAGATCGCTTGACAATATCTTACTGTCGGAGCAGCGGTCCTGGGGGGCAGAATGTGAACAAAGGTACGGGGATCTTGCTGCTTTCTTTAACTTAAAACCTTAGCTAGAAGACGGGCTTGAGGAGCTCCATGTTTATATTCATGTGGAAGAAAGGGATTTTCCAGCAAAAGCTTAAATTCCAACAGCTTATAATAATCCTCTTTATTCTTTTGAATGCACTCTTGATTCTTGGACTCTGAGCTGTGGGTTGCTAGGCCCGTGATTGGCTTGTAAGTCTAAACAAAAGGAATGCATGATGTGAGCCGGCAGCCTGTGCCAAGAACAGGTTTCCTCGGTCCTCATGGTGCCCAGACCCCTGTTCTTTCAGCTCCCAGTAAAACTGTAAGAGAGGCCCTGCACATCTAGTTACTGGAAGTTTCCTTTTGTTCTAGAGAGCCTCACAGTGTTTGCAGGCTCGCTGTATGGCCACCCGTGTTTCCCCAGGTGACATAGTAGAGACACACACAAGATTTGGTGTTCTGGGTGGCCCCAGCCACCCGCTGACAGAGTAGTTGACCCAAGTTCTGTCTCCCTTTCGCCCACAGTGAATTCCAAGGCTGAAGTCAGATTCCATCTGGCCACCGCCGACTGGATAGCGGAGCCTCTGCGGCAGAAGATCGCCATCAGGGTACGGCTGGCCCCTTCCCTGTAGTCCCTCAGCCACTTTTAAACCTTCAGCCTTCCGACTCTGCTTTCCCCTTGATTCTCTGCAGCATAAAAATAAGATCAACAGGGCAGGAGAGTTGATCCTGACGTCGGAATGTAGCCGCTATCAGTTCCGGAACCTGGCCGACTGCTTACAGAAAATCCGAGACATCATCTCTGAGGCCAGCCAGGCCCCGAAAGAGCCGTCTAAGGAAGATGCTGCCCTTTGGAAGATCAGGTCAGTCAGAGGCGACTCGTCGCCGGCCCTCCGTGCGGTTTCTGAGGCTGTAAATTGAGCGAGAGACTGCCCGTCTCTCTCCCTCGGGGTCACTGGGGGTTTACTGCCCCCTCAGAGGCACGGCCTGCGGGTTTAGCAGCAAACCCCCCGGCTGAACGAGCCGCCAGAGCCGAGGTTTCAGTAAGCAGATCACAGGCTTCTGTATGTGCTGGTTAGCAGAATGGGCTAAACATCGAGCTGAAAGGTCAGAGGTTCAAAGCCACCAGCTGCTGCACAGGAGAAAGAAGAGGTCTGCTCTTTTAAAGGTTTACAGCCTCGGAAAGGGTGTGGGGCAGTCCACCCTGTCCCATAGGGTCACTGTGAGTCAGTCTGCATAGATAATGAAGGAGGCGGGCCACAGCTCAGATGGTGGGAAGGGTGGAGGGGGTGGTGGTGGTGGGAAAGCTGAGGTGCAGACTCTGACCGAGAGCTCAGATCCGGAGCTGGCGCCCTACCTGCTCTGCTTCCCGCAGAGTGCCCACTGCCTCTCTTCACTTCAAAAGACATCAATTGAGCATCTGGGCCTAATCATGGTCTTTTTGTTTCCAGGGTAGAAAACAGGAATCGGGAAAGACTGAAACAAAAGAGAATAAACTCCGCTGTCAAAACGAGCCGAAGGGTAGATGTGGACTGAGATGACCCCGCGGGGCCCACCCTCAGGGCCTAGAAAACCACCGAGAACATTCTTGCTTTTTCGTTAATACTTGTCGTTAATACTAGAGCCTCCATGAGAACGTCTGTCTGAAGGATGGTTGCTGGCACTGCTTAGAAGGGTCTTTATGGCCACCCTCCCCCTCATAGTGTCAAACTTCAATTGTCCATTTCATGTATTACCTGCAATAAAACATTGAACTGTAATAGGCTTTCCTGCTCATTCAGAAGGCTTCAGAACAGAGCCCTGCCTTTCAGGTAAAATGTGCTTAAGAGTCATTCTGTTTCCCTGTCAATGCTGAGTGAATGACTGGACATCACTGACTGGACATCAGAGGTCAGGGGGAGCAGGGGTGACTTCTGGTGCCTGTCCTCAAGGAGCACACAGTCTGATAGAAGGGCCCGGGGGTGAGAGGACATTGAGCTGGCCTTAGTAAGTGAAGGAGGGACCCAGGCCACTCCAGTTTAAGGGGACAACGTGAACAGTGGAGCCAAGAAAGAGACAGGACCAGGGCAGCTGATGCTGAGGCCAGCGGCACTGAATGGCGCATGGGCAGAAGGACTGTAGGAGGTAAATGAGGAAGATGAGGCTTAATGAGGAGAGCCTTGAATTCACGGCAAGGGGTTTAAATGTTATGGCTCAGAGAAATTCCATATGACCCAGCTATTCCACTACTTGGAATATACCCTGAGAGAATGAGAACTGAGGCACAAACAGAGATTTGTACATCAATGTTCGTAACAGCATTATTCACCATCACAAGAACATGAAAACAGCCCAAATGTCCAACCACAAACAAATGGATTGAGAAATGATGGTACATTTACACAGTGGAATACTATGCACCATGCAGGAGCAATAACTTTGTAAATTATTACCTAACTTGGGAGGGACTGGAGAGCATTATGCTGAGTGAACTAACTCAGTCCCACAAGGATAAATATTGTATAAAATATTGCATAAAACCATTACTGTAGAATGAGTCTAAGGATCCAGGAGGGGTGGGAGAGGCTGGAAGCAGAGGGATGTGGATGTGCAGGGGGAGGAGAGGATTAATCATTGGGTTGTACAATTTGATGGGGCCCAGGACAAGGAAAATTGAAAGAATTTATTCAAATTTGTATTTGAATTTTGTAAATAGCCAAATAAATTTAAAAAATAACATTCCTTATCCCCTTAAAAAAAAAAGGGAAGCTCCTGAAGAAATGTGTGAGGGCAGACAGACTCCGCTTGGAGTTTGACCTTGGAAATGAGCAACTGTACCACAGCGTGGTCGATTACTCATATGTCTGAATTTCTGGAATACTTTGCACCATTTTTGATCTTGTTGACTTGTTTAACAAGTTCTGAATTGCAGTGATCCAAATACCAAGAACGGAATGGTAGTAAATATACTTTACATGAACAGGGGCTTCATGCAAGAACATTTATAAATGACCTCCAAAAGGAAAGATCTGTAACACCAGCCCCTGTCTCCTCAAGGGACATGAGGCTTAGATTCAAGAAGGGTAACCTCTAATTCAACACAGATTTATCAACTGCCAGGCCCTGGGTGAGGTGAGGTCAGCAGTGAACAAGGAAGCTTCATCCAGGGATTGACATTCCACTTGCAGGAAAATGCTAAATCAGGTGATGATAAAACCACCAAGAAAAATTAAGCCCTGTTAGAACAGCAGGACCCACACGTGGCAAATGACACCAGGTCCACAACCCCTAGCTGGCCAGTTGGAACCAACTCACAGCTGACCCTCCTGCAGATCGCCAGAGGTCGGAACTCACATGGTGGTTTCTAACCACGTGTCTGGGAGCTACCAGCTCAAGGTCACAACCACTAGGCCACCAGAACCCTCTAAAGTAACATAAGACCTAACTGAGTGAGAGAGGTCTCCAACAGGAGACTCAGAGATGATGTCCCTTTGGAGGAGACCCAGCTGAGTGGAGAGGTCATGGAGTAAGGTCTGTGGAGTCTCCAGTGTTGGCCAAGGTGAAGGTTATGCTAGGAAAGTGGGCAATGCCAAGCCCTGCCTGTTCCACGGTGAGCGGAGAAGGTGGGCTCCTGACCCCCACCCACCCACCCGCGGTGGAGCCCTGGGCACTTCTCTGAACCTGAAGTTTCCCCTCTGTAAACCAGGGACGAAGTTCCCAGGTCCAGCCTCAGGAATGTGGTGGAACTGAGTGCCTGTGGCACATCCTGGCAAGGACATACCAACCATCTGAACAGCCCAGTGTGGCTGGCAGCCGGGAAGCAAGATGAGTTTGCTGGGGGGAACCAGATCTAGAGGGGTGACAGCTAAGACATTTAGACTTCACTCCCAACAGAGGGTGCCGGCCAAGGTGGACCTGGCAGTGACAGAACAAGCAAAGGCCCTGGCCATGGCTGCAGGGGGCCCAGGGGGCAGACAGGGCTCCACTGGCAACAGCGTTGGAGAGGAAACAACTGATAACAGAGCTCAGGAGCAGAAGACGGGCCAGGGTGGGGTGGGCGCAGGCGGGTGACACGGGTGATGCTGGGGAGGGTGGCTGGACCACGGTGGTCCTGCGTGGCCTGAGGAGGAGGGTCCAGGCTGCCTGGCCAGGAAGGAAGTGGACAGAGCAGCTGAGAGGGGAGGAGGGCCAGGCTGGGCCGGGGGACACGCCGTTAGTCCGCAGGGGCCTGGGATGGGATGGGAGACCCCGCAGGTCACCCAGGTGCAACGTGCTGGACCCATGAGACCTTCAGGAAAGGCCGGTGACATGTCAGATGACCCGGAGGGGAAACGGGGAAGGCCGACGAAACCGGCCGGTGAGGACAGAAAGCAGAGCATAGCCGCGGGGTCCCTCTTTGCAGGAGGAAAAAAACCCGAGCGATCAACACAGTCTGCAGGCAGTGTCGGCCGCCAGCCGGGAGGCGGGACCGCCCGCGACAGCCTATTACAGGCGAAGACGCCACTCTCACACCCCGCAGGCCCCAGTGGCCTAATGGATAAGGCACTGGCCTCCTAAGCCAGGGATTGTGGGTTCGAGTCCCACCTGGGGTAGTTATTTTCTCTGTTTTATTTTTTCATCAGCAGATTCCTGCAACCGGACCCGGACTCCGATCAGCCCCTCCCGCCCACGATTCTCAGCTCTGGGCTCACGGGAGTGGGGAAACCGGAAAGTCTTGGGGAGCCACATGGTTGGAGCCCGCGACTGCGCTGGTCTCAGGTTAGGGAGGGTCACCCCATCTTCGGACGCTTCCAACACCGGGGAGGAGGACAGGACTCATCTCGCTTTTTGCTGCTGTTTTCAAGGCACCCAGCTCCGCGGTCCTCGCCCGGCGTCCGGAGCCAAAGAGAAGGGATAAAAGATTGGAGCTAACAGAGGGGTGGCGATAAGATGGAGATAGAGGGGTACAGAGCTTTGCAGAAGTCGGGGGACAACAGAGAAAAGGGCAGGATGTCGACTACCAAAATCTTCCGCAGCAACAAGGTGCGCACGCCACCCCAGGTGGGACTCGAACCCACAATCCCTGGCTTAGGAGGCCAGTGCCTTATCCATTAGGCCACTGGGGCACAAGCACACGGAAACCTGGAGGACCTGTGGTGCCGCGTGTGGCGTGGCACGTGCCGCGCTGTCAGGGCGCGCGACGCAGGCCGGCTGCTCTGGGGACCCCGGGACGGCGACCGCCAGGCCCAGAGTGACACGCCGGCGCCGTCCTGCCCTGTCACCACGGCCTGCGCCAAAAGCAAGCGGTCCAAGCCAGACGGCCTGGTACTTAGCGGACGCAGACATGTAACTGGGCGAGCAAAAGGCCTAAGGATCAATCGAGGTGGAGGCGAGGGAAGGAAGTAAACCCCCAAGTAAAACCAGGGCGGCCAGAATGCGACGCCGCACACCGCAGGAAGGCCTAGACCTCCTTTATTAGACGGAAAAAGAAAAAGAGCCGACCACGAAGGGACTCGAACCCTCAATCTTCTGATCCGAAGTCAGACGCCTTATCCGTTAGGCCACGCGGTCACGTGCTTAACTTGCTTTAGTTCCAGCCAGATGTTAACCCTCAGAAGTGATGCAAGGCGACGGGGCCGGAGAAAGCAGCGAGGATGAGGAGCGCGCGCTGTGCTATGGATGGAATCTCAGGAGCGGAAGCAGCAGGACTATTTCAGGTGTAACAGCGTCGGTGAGTTAGTTCGTCACCAAGTAGTTCTGCTGAGAACAACTCCGTTACCAAGAGACCGCGTGGCCTAATGGATAAGGCGTCTGACTTCGGATCAGAAGATTGAGGGTTCGAGTCCCTTCGTGGTCGGAGATCTGTTTTAATTCTAAACAGAGGCTGTGGTCCTTGAACTCTGTGTTTCCATCAGAATCCCGCTTCCTCGCCTTGTTTTAAACAAGTACTATTTGTAAGACTGCTCCCTGATTCTGAAATTAGGGAATCAGCCTGGGAACCTACCCGGTTTTACAATTTGCTGGGAAATGTGACGTCGATACCTATGTCTGTGATTTTTATGGCACAAGAAGAGGCTTATTGGCTGAGATCAAGAGTGTTCAAAGCCCATCTGTGATGATAACGTTAATAGTTTTAAAATAGCCACCTTTTTATATTGATATTATTTTTGTTTAATACTATGCTCTACGTTTTTCACCAGGGGAGAAAAATTACCTTTTTTTTTTCCTCTGATGAAACTTCACTACACTCAGACTTCAAAGACAAATGAGAACTCTTTCATTCTTGCTTTTTTTTTTTAAAAAAAGCTGATATCCAGAACTACCTTAGCATCCAAACTGTCCCTCGCCAGACTGCCCCAAAGCTACAAACCCCGGTACAACTGAAAGAGCGCGTTATAAATGCGCCTATGGACTGCAGCCTTCAAGATATATACTTCAAAATCAAGAAAACAAAACCCCTCACCACCAGAACAATCGGCAGCATCATGATAAATGGAGAAAAGATTGAAGTTGCTAACGATTTCAGCTTGCTTGGATTCGCAATCAACAACCTTGGCACCAACAGTCAGGAAATTAAAAGACGAGTTACACTGGAAAATCTGCTGTCAGGGACCGCTCCAGCGTGCTGGCGAGCAACGATGTCTGTCTAGAGACTAAGGTGCCGTCATCTCAATTGCTTGCTGTGCTTCTGAGAGCTGGGCATATGGATGACAGAAGAACGGATGCCTTTGACTGGTGGTGTTGGAGAGAATTGAACACACCATGGACTGCCAAGAGAACAAGTAGGTCTGTCCACAAGAGAACCAAGTTGCTTCTTGGAGTAAAGGATTTTGAAACTCACATACTCTGGGCATGTTGCCAGGAGGACCCAGTCCTTGGAGGCGGGCATCATACTTGGAAGAGTGAAAGGTCAGCACAGGAGAGGAAGACCATGAGATGGTGACTGTGGCAATGGGATCAGTTGTGTCAGGGACACTGAGGCTGGCTCAGGATAGGGCAGGCTTCAGAGCCTTTGTTCATAGGCTCACTATCATTCGTGGCCAACTTGACAGCACGTGTGCGGAGGACCCAGGCTCCATATAGTGGCTTTTGTATAACAGAAATAAAGTGAATTGGGGGGGAGCACAAGTTACAAAGCAGGAAAAATCCTTAAAATTAAAAATCAGAGTAATTTTGCCCTAGAATTGAGGTTGTGATAGAAAGGTGGCTTCTGGTGGATCAATAATGTTCATTGAGAGTGAACAAGATAATAATGCATGCGCCTTGGAGAAGTGCGGCAAGTGCGGTACACCTAGAATTTATGCTGTGTGTGTACTTACACGCTTTATATGATCCTTTAATAAAATGTTCGATTTTCTTTCAAAGTCTACTATTCAGGTCAAAGATGATTCCTTTTACCCCATTTATTTATTACTCTTTTAGGGAATTCTATTTCCGAAGTTGAGTACTTCTTACTATGTTGCAGCATTTTGGGGGAAAATTCACCAGATTTTCTTAAATCTTTGACTTGAAAAAAAAACCCCAAATTTTCAATAACGAGCCATTATTGTTTATACGTTTGAAAAATAAAAACAAGAACAGAACCCTCCTCCTCTCCCCATTCTGGAAGATTCTTCCTGTCTCCAGCCTCACCCAGCTCAGTGGCCCTGTTCTGCACGTTCCCTGGTCCGGGTACCTCTGCATTCCCTGAGCTTGGACCACTGGAGTCGCCTGATTTCAGGCTTCACTTTTCACGCAAACCACACTGCCTCAGTGTGGATTACGTCAGTGAGAGAGAATAGTGAAGTACTGAACAAGGTTATAAAGGATGACAGACTCACAGTGGAGTAGTTACAAGTTTAGTGTTTCACTAAACACTAAAACTGAAAAACCTGCCCACTTCAGGTATTGCATTACCTACCATTTTTTGTACTATGGGGTTTTTCTTGTTTTTGTAGTATTTAAGACTGTAAATTATTTTGGTAATTTTGTCTTATTTTGTAATTTTGTCTTATTTTGTAAGACTGTAAATTTATTTTTGTGTAAATTATTTCTTTTCTCCATATTTGAACACTTAGCCCTGTGTCTTTCCCCAGTGATTCACAATGCTATTTGGAGAACTTCATAAAGACATAAATGCATATTGTTCCAATGTTTACATGCTATGAATTATTGTGGAGCATTCTACTCTGTTCCATGCATCTAATTAGGCTTAGCTTTTTTTTTTTTAATTAGGCTTAGCTTTTATTGATGCTTAATATATGGCAGTACTAATTCATTTCACAATTTATAAATTTTTCCCACTCCCTTCTTTACTGTTCTTTTGCCTGTCTACTGATTTTTAGATATTCAAGATATAATTTGTAAAAGGTTTTCCATTTTATTAACAATGTAATGCAACAAACGTACTTATGTTTTTATAAATTTCTTATCTTGGTTTCCAAATATTCTGTAACTGAAAATTTTATTTCCTTTACAAAGTACGCAAGGTTTCCCCCTCAGTGCATCTAACCTAACCTCTTTTTGTTGTGTCCAGTCTGCTCCTTGGAGGCAAGGATTCTGAAGCTTCATCTGACATACTTTGGGTATATTCTAAGGAGGGCCCAGTCCTTGGAGAGGGATGTCATGCTTGGGAGAGTGGAGGGACAGCACAGAAGACCACCCTCTATGAGGTGGATTGATTCAGTGACTGGAGCAATGGGGGTGGGTGTGTCAGAGGCAGTGAGGTTGGCACACAACAGAGCAGGGTTCAGGGTTCTTGTACGTATGGTCACTATGTGTCACAGGTGACTCAACAGCACATAACCACTACCACCCTTGAATCAGATCCTACTGGCACATAAGAGGATTGTCCCTCCTTCTCGAGTGAAGCAGTTGGTGAATTCGAACCTATCCTTTATTTTTATCCTCTTTGAATCTTTTTCTTAAAAAGACAGTGTACAGTTGGGATTCTGGGCGGACTCAGCTTGAATTTTTGCCTTTAGAAAAGGGGCATTTGCCAACTTCTATCCATGTCTAATTCTGTATTTATGCTGTTTTCTTTTTTTGAGTCAGTTTCCAAATCCTATTGGTTTTGTATCACATAAATGTTGTTTCTAACAATAATTATGACGGATGTTGCACTGTGGTCTGCTGGACCCCTTATTGTAAACTGCCTTTTCCTTCACTCACCCTATCTATTTACTCTTATTCCTCTTTCCCTCCCTTTCAGAAAAAGAGCTCCGATGTCCTAAGCGGTAAGGAGTTGCTCTGCCAACCCCAAGGCAGGCGTCCACCTGAACGCTGGACAACGAAGAACAAAGAATTGTGTTGTCTTTGGATCATGGTGGTGAAGCATATTCGATGCACCATGGCCTGCCAAAGAACACACACGTCTTATACTAATTACAGAGTGCTCCTCAGAGGCAAGGATGCTGAAAGTCTCTCATTTTAGGGTTTCCAGTCCTCGGAGACGTAACATGCTGAGAAAGGTGGAAGGGTCAGGAAAGAGGAAGAGCCTCCGTAAGGTGGGTTCACACAGTGACCGCAGCAATGGGCTTGAGCCTAAGAGATGGTGAGATATTGCAGGACAGGACAGGGCAAGGCTCCGATGTTGTTGAAGACTCACTAAGATCGACCAGATGGCATCTAACTACTCTCCCTTTGTGTGACTGCATTTTGCTTATTTCTAAATGGGAAGGATCTAAGACAAAGTCTTGGTTTGGTTTTAGCATGTGGCTAGAACGAACTGCTGTTCAGGGAAAGAACCAACAAGAGTCCTGGGACAGTTTGGTGGCACAGAGTTCTAGCCAAGAATTAGTCTTCGATCCGTGCTGCTTTCCCTGGACGTTGAGCGACTTCTCCGAGCTTCAACTGCTTGGCTGTGTGCCAGTTCAGTGTCAGCAGCGGGGAGACACTCACTCACTTCTGGTTTGGGCATTTAAGGCCTCCTGGTACAGCCACCACTGAAGACTCCAGTCATGCTGAGGGCAGGAACCGGGAGCACCCCCAACTCCACTACACTGCACCTTCAATTCAATGCCCTCCTGACAATACCACGAGGCTTTCCTGAGAGCTGCTAGCCAGGCTGCTCTGCCGCCAACAGTCCACCTGCAATTCTTGGCAGAAACAGCTTGTTTCTGGCCCATGAACGCTAACTGCCCCTTCCTGTGGGATTCCAGCCATACCAAGCAGGCCGTCAAAGCCTGTTATCACCTTCGGACCTGACACTCCCCAGGTTCTCACGTTTCATTCTCGTGACAATCCTGATGTCTGTAACCCCGCAGGACAACACTTAAGCTAAAGGGGTGAGTTAGTTCACCAGGTCCTGATTTTAAAGGCAGAAGAATTCTTCCCACCATCGCCCCAGCTGCGGCTTGGTTTTTTTCCCCTCAAAACTTCAAACCACTTCCACTCTCCTGGCATTGCTCATTTCTAAGGCGTCAACAGTGTAACACAACGGTGTTAACGTCAGTTTCCTCTTGAGCTGAAGCACAAAGTGAGGCAGGCTGCTGCGGCTCTGCCCTTGTTACACTTGTAACTTGGACCATCTGGTCTTGGGACTTTAGTGAAGGACAAACAGAATGAAGTACTCCCTGGAAACCAACAATGTGGAATCAAAGAGGAAGTTCAAGGTTGTCAGAGGAGCAAGGCTCCCGCTCCCACAGTGAAACACACAGTCAAAGCCTCCCCCCCCCTCCCCGGCAAACAGTTCGGGGGCTCAGGAGAGGCCTTTGGGGGCTCAGTCCACAGTATGCTGCACCACTAACCAAATCTCCAGTTGAAATTTACCCTCAGCAAATGGACAGAGTTGCTGTGACGCCTGCTTTGGCGGCAAGGTTTGCCAAGTGACTTCTCTACATACTGATCACACACTAGACCAGCACCCACCTTCAGGTTCACCTTTCAACTAAGACCACAGTGGCACGGTGGTTAAGCACTAGGCAGCTAACTCAAAGGTTGGTGGTTCGGCTCTACCAGCTGTTGTGAAAGTGATGCGATGGACTCCCTTTGCAACGATTACTAACTTGGAAACCCTCAGGGCAGTCCAGCCCTGTCCTGTGGGCTGCTCCAAGTTACAACTGGAATCTGGCTTAGGGTTTTTTGGTCTTTGTTCCTTTTAACAGGAAGGCTAATTCCGGCATGAGTGCCTGGGAGGAGAGGTGGAATTATCTCAACCACAGTGAAGGAGCAGACGCACACAGCATATCCCATCACTCTTTTGTTTTTTGGATCTCTCTTATTTTTAATGTTCCGAGTTTGCGGTTGCAGGGCCGGCTCTCCCTGCCAGACTCAGGTTTATAAGTTTTCAATTGGCTGGTGAGGCCAGTAGGGATACTTGGTCTTGTCTAACTTGGTTTCCGGGAAAGCTTCATTCAAGTCCTCAATGGTCATCTGCTCGAACGGAATGATGTTCCTCAACTTCTCCAGCTGCAAAGAGAGACATGTGTTAGTTCAGGTGACTCGGGCTGTGAGACTCAGAGCGGGAGGCAGAGGCAGGCTACTGTCAGGTGGAAGATCTGTGGTCCGGGGAGGCAGGCGACGCGCGGAGACAAAACGCACGCTCACTCTCACCTGCTTCTCGTACTCCTCAATCCTGCTCTTGGAGAGAGACACAAACTCCGCACAATTCTTCATCTAGGAAGAAACAGAGAAATTCTTCCTTGGAACCAAATGATGCCGCTGTGACCTGGAACCTCCCAAGGCCCATGGAGTCCCCGTGGCTGCCTTTCCTGCACTCACAAGAGCTGCCAGAGTGGGAGGAATGGTCAGCATGCCCAGCCACTCACGGAAAGGGTGACAAGAGTCCACCTAAATGGACTTCACCCTGGTGGCACACACAGGGTCACTGCGAGCTGAGGTCATCTGGCTGGTTCAGAGTGGTCGCCCTGACTTCCTCGAGAAACAGGTTTGGGAGAAAACCCACAGCTTTTCCATCAAGTCACAAAGAAATCCATGCAGGAAAGCCAGCTCAAAATGACAGGAAGAGGCTTCCTCAGAAGTCAGTCACCAGATACGGGGCTGGTCACTAAGGCTGGGCCTCCATTAGATTCAGGACTAGCCCTCTGACCACTTAAGTCAGATTTCCCTTTGGCAGAACCACCTGAATCGCAAGGTTGGCCTTCTGTACTTTCAAACAAGGTGGCATCATTTGAATACCCTCCTGAATATTTTTCCACTCAATCTGAACTCCATACTCTCTCACTGTTGGCGGAATCAAGTCATAGCGGGCCCCCTAGGGGTTTTCAGAGGCTGTAAATCACACAGAAGGACAATGCCCATCTTTCTCCCAAGGAGCAGCTATTCGATCTGAACCAAGGGATCTGTGTTGGCAGCACAATTCCTTACCTTCTAAGTCTAGAAATATTTTACCTAATTCTAGCTCCTTGAATGTTCTCAAATTTCTGATGAGATATAATAAAACATAGATATGAAGATTATAATTTGAAAGCTGTCACAGATGTGAAATCACTGTCACAATCAAGTGAACATATGAACCTTCTTCCTCCCGCTCTAGGCAAGAAAGATAGTGCTCTCTGTCACTGGACAACAGTGACACCAAGCTAAGACTCGAGGGGCCTGCTTTGTTTTTCTGGGTGGCACAAGGTTTCTGCCTTTGTTAGGGTGTAGCTGGCACGTTTCTATTTATTAGTGAAAATCATTTTTCTTTGTTTCCACTTTCCATGGGTTCCAGTGCTCACTGGTTCTGCTGCAGTTACACATTCTAGAGTTTAACGTGAATGGACTCACACAGCACGCATGGAGGCTGCTTCCCTTCATTGAGCATGATTTTGAAAACTGCATGTTGCTCTTTATGGAAACAGTTCATTAATTTTTTTTTACTGCTGTCAATTCCTAAATTTTTACTTCACGTTACTGTAACCAAACTGCTAAGAAACGCAAAGCTGTCAGAAGTAGAAAATAAGTAAGAGCTTGAGCTACTTACGTCTTCTTTTTCTTCGGCATCTACCAGGGCTGTATACTTATCCTCTGGCACGGGAACCTTCAGGGCGTTAAACTGAAAACATACGGACCATGAGTGGTTGCCAATGTACCCAGAAGCCCAAGGAGGGGCCCAGCCAACAATCTTTTTAATTCGTTCCAAAACTCATCCTCCACCCCAACAAGGTGTCAGGACATGCCTGTCCCTCTTATTAGAGCAGGGACAGGAACTCAAGGTTCTTGGTCCTGTCATCAACTTCAGGTTGTTCATTTGAAAATAACTTCTGCACTCATGACCTCTAAGTCAACCTCTTAAGACTTTTGTAGTTCTAAACAAATTCCAAGTTATCTTTTAAATGAAACCCTAGAGGGGTGACTGGACCCAGTAATGCTTGTACAATGGAGAGCTCCTTAGAAGGCAGCTCAGTGTTATAGGCCTAGCACCCAGTGTGGTGCCTGGCACACTGTAGGTCTTTGATGAGCATCTACTAAATGAACAAATTAACTCAGAATACAGAGGAAGCAAGTAGGTTAACAGAGGAGGACAAGTGGATGAGAAAGTCTAGCTACCAAGGACAATAAAATAGAGATTAGAGAAAGGATGAAGAAGGGTAATTGTTAAAAGGTAAAACAATGGAGCTCTGATGGCCAAGTGGCAAGAAGCTGCACTGCAATCCCAGAGGCATGTGGTTTAAATCCACCAGATGCTCTGCTGAAGGAGAAACAATCTCCTCCTGTACCAGTCAGATGGATTAGAACTACACACACACAAAAACAATTTAAAAAAAAAAAAGAAAGAGGGGGGAGAGGGCTGGGCGGGGAGAGAAGTACAGCAATGAATGAATGAATGGAAATCCAAATTCTCTGTAAATGTTCATTACAATTATTTTTAAAAATAAAATTAAATTAAAAGAAAAAAAGGTAAAACAATGTTAGTTTGTTTCAAAGAGGGACAAATGGAAGGCTATGAAGGAACTCAAGAAGAGCTGTGCAGAAACACTTAAGGTGACACTCTGTCTCACTCAGGCTACACTGATGAACAGACCTTAAATTCTCTGTACTTATCTGCCACTGACATCTACTACCTCAAGCTGTGGCCACACTCATCCCTCCTGAGCCTCCTTCAGGATCTCAGTGGTGACCTCACGCCTCCTTCCACATCACCCTTCACTCTCCTCTTCCTCATGCACAGGTCGCATGGTAAGACCACGGCTCAAATGGCCTCAATTCTCACCTTCTTCTCAAAGTCGTCCACTAAGCCTGCCTTGGCCACGTTGGCCTTGTAGTAAGCCCAGTCGATAGCTGGAGGTGCCTCGGGGACAGCAGCCAACCTGAGTATAAGAGAAAGAGTTAAGACTGCTCCACGAGAGCTATGCTTCTTGTTCCTCTGCCCTGGATCTGTCACCACACTTTTCTTTTTTATAATATGATGCCATTTATTTAAAGATTACATATTTGTTTGTATATGAGTAAAAAGTTATGAATCCGACATAAGAAACTGTTAAGAGGTTATCTCTGGGCAACTGCAGGGAGGCCAGGATGAAGCAGGGAGAGGCTGTTTTAACTTTATGGTTTTTAGTCCTATTGGTACTCGAGGTACTTGATACTTCCTAGTAGTTATAGAGGGTCGTACCCATTTGTTCTATTTTCTTAAAATTCTCTAGTATGCTAACTGCTTAAAGATGACAAAATTATATTTAAATGAGATGGATGCTAGACATTTTTTCTTTTTCAAACTCAAAATGAAAATCGCATATAGCCACTCTTAGCTCATTAGTGTTTCGATGAGGTTCTTTTTGTCATACTTTTCTATCAAAGGGACAGCTGAGAATAAAGGAAAGGGTGGGGGACGGGGGGTGGGGGGAGGAAGACTTTTTGTTTGGAAGATGTTTGGATTCCTTTATACTGTCTGACAACAGGGTATCAGAAGTTGACATGCAACACATGGTTTAATGTCCTGACTCAGTGACAAGTAAGAGACTCCCTCCCTGGACAATACTGACCTGGTGGTGAGAATCTCATTCCAGGATTTCAGGGAGTTGGCAATAGCCTTCTGGTTTCGGGGTATGATCTCCCCAAAAGCTACCCAGTCAATGGCTTTCAGAGTAAGTTTTCGCCCAGCCATCTTGAGATCCTGGAGAATAAAAGAGGTCAGAGGGTTCTTGGAAAGAATCCTGTACAGAAATCTTAGCAACACAGAAGTCTTTAAGATGGGTATCCTCAAAGCATATACTGTCAAGTAAGCAGATAAAAGACAAGTTAGCATTTCAAAGTCAGGGATGCAACCCGGCATATAAACATACCCTCTGCACTCCCCCACTCCTCTCTTCTAAAACTTCAGCTCTCTAGCTTTTCCTCTTCGTCCATCTTTGGAAATCTGGCGTTAATGCCTTGCACAAAAGCCAACCCGACACGGATCCGCAATTCATCAAAATACAAACCCACCAGTTGGAGATGAAATCACCTCCAACTCCGAGGTGTGATACAACCTTTAGCCCAATAGAGCAGACTCGATCAGAATGTCCTCATCTGTAAAACGACGATGCCATCAGCCCCACACAGTTCAGCTTTTCAAAGCAGCAAACGAAACTGTGCAAGTCAATCTGCCCTCCAGATAAATTCTGTTGGTGGGTGTTTGAATGGACTCGGAATAAAGCTGCCCCATAGGGCTTCCTCGGTTGAGTGTGTGTTCACACACACACAGGAGTGAACCAGAACAAACTGGCTTTCCATCAACAACCTGTCCTCCTTCCGTCGCGCAGTCGTGACATTGACTGCAAACCCCACCCTGTCCCGGGGCTCCTCCCACATCCGTCTCCATCCTCCTCCTCCTCCGCCATGCCCACTGGCCTTCTGAGCCTTAGCCCTGGACCAATGCTGCCCTGTGGATCTCCTCTGGAAGACTGCTCCTACAGGCTGTGATCTCATAGGAAAAGGCCTTTTCTTCCCCCAAAATTGCTGGTTAACTTTTCAGTTAGGCGCTGAGAGCTGACCCACTGCACCACCAGGGCTCCCCTTTCGGATTGTCACACATTGCAAATCTGTCCCAGGGAAGCGGGTGACAGATCTGCCGCTTTCCTGCAACCCCTTCCCAGGCAGCTCAGGTTCCTGGGGCGGCAGGTGGCACCCGGGCACCCCACGCCCTTGGGGAGACGTTCCCGAGCACCAGCCGATGACAACGGGGTTTCTGCCTGTCCTGGTCATTGCCAGATCCCCAGCACCTGCATGTCACGAGACGTAAATGCCCCCAAAGGTCAAGCTGCTCGAATGGCACAGCCTTCAAGCGGGAAGGGAGCGCACAGCCCCGCAGGGTCTTTGGCAATGTCCATCGGGAGCTGGCCGGGTCACAGCCTGGTCCCGGGCGCCCGCGCGAGAGAGGGAGGGGAGGAGGCCGAGCGGCGCAAAGCGGCTGCAGCGAGACCTGGGCGCTCGGCCAGGACAGCAACCGGAGGGCCCTGCGTCCTCGGAGGCAGTGTGGCAAAGGTCACTGCTGGCCTTACGGGCGACAGAGCAGAGGGACGCGCTGGGACCGGGACGCGGACACCTCGAACCTACTCACCTTCAGCGACCCCGGAGGCCCAGAGCCAGAGCGGCAAGAGGCGGAAGTGCGTCACCGGACGCGCTCCCTCCAGCCCAACCCTAAAGCCGAAGGGGCGGGTCTCGTCGCGCAGCTCAGCCACTAGACACCCCGCTCGGCGCCGGACGTCCCGCCCCCGGGGGCGGGCCCCGCGCCTCCGCCGCACGGGTCCCCCCGC